CAGGAAGATATCAGAGGTACCAGACAGAAATAAGTTGGGGCAACAAATTAGGAAGACAATCTGGGTGTACCAAATAGCTAAAAAGAGTAATTATTACCTTATTTAGATTGACACAAACTTCAGTGATCATATCTAAATACCTTATATAGATCACGATATTTGATATCAAGATGATAAAAATGGCATACCACCTTAAATTCTCTACCTGTAGATTCCCAGACTTTTCTTGAAACATAATTGCTTAAGTTAGGGCAATCTTGCCTAATTTACCTGATCAGTAATTTTTCTGTGAGCATTTCTTTGAAATGATTTGACTTGACTACCTTCTTTTATATTTCATTTAATCTTCATTCTGTTATCCCATAATTTTCATTTGCGTGTTTCATATTACTGCAGCATATGGATTTGCAATGTTACTTCTGTATTACAGTTTAATTTAGTCATTATGCTGAATGATTAAAGTGAAATTTTATCCCTCTTTCCATGAAAATTGAGTGTTTGGCGTGGATTCCTTAGCTTTAGCCACTCCTCAAATAATACCTGGTGGTCAAGGCTGTGTTCTTTGAATCATGGCTGATGTTCTTACTGGCCAAATCTGTCGGTCCCGTAACTCTGAGTCTTTTCCCTTTTCCTTGTGCTGTACAGACTATTTCTAGATCCCAGTCTGCTACATCCATATTTCTCCACTCCTAGTCCATACAAAGTGGAACTGTGGATCATCTCCTCATACCTACTGCTTTCGTGAATGTCATGTGTAAATAATGTTAGCTGTTTGTTAAGCAGTTTCTAGTATTTAAATTAGGTGGCTGGGTCTATAAATCAACAAACATGTTTGTCTGACTTTTTCAGTTTTCAGCTGCAAGTTGTTTGAACAGGTTAATATTTACGTTCTTTTTGATATCAGGGTCAAATTCTATTCATCACCTTAAGCGTAAAGGTAGATGCCCGCAAAGTTAAATAACGTCCTTTGGGATCAGTAAGATTTGCCTTTCCAACTGATCTGTTGAAGCAGAGCTTCTCCATATTTGAAAACAAGCAGACGAGTGGGTGAGCAAAGAAACTGGCACTTCTTCAAGGAGTGCTTTTGCGCACACTTGTGACTGTGCCAAAGATTGTTTGGTGTTGGGCTACATCAGTGGCAGCAGTTGCCCAGCAGTATTTTGGTGCCTTTTATTGTTGCTGAGAGGAGTGGGAAGCCACTTGTGTGTGGTTCCTGGGTGCTCTGCGGTGGGGTAGTCCTGAAGCACCCAGAACACCTGTGACTTCCACTAGTTAGTACCAGTGACAAATGGTTTAGGAAGCAGTTCTCCCTCCAGAACCGCCGTGGAAACCGGGAAAGAGAAGCACTGACAGTCCCAACTTTTGAACTGTGATGAGAAGAAGCAATCTGATGAGTAGTTACTTGGTAAAAGCTGGTGAGGTTCCCAGCCGGCTCTCATTCCAAGTGAAGTTGATGAGAATTTGCCCCTAACGTTTAAGTTGCCTTTATATGCTCTGCAAGTTCCCTGTGGTTCCTTACTCACACTTAACTTTTCGGACCTAAATAAAAATGAGATGCTAGTACCTGAACATAAGTAATTTGTAATAACAAACTGTAATATGTTTATGGTGGAGAGAGGAAATTTAAACATATTTCTATTTCAGGATTTCAGAGACTTCTCACTAGGGCTCCTCAGTAATGTTGCAGAAGTAGGGAGGGAAGAGTCGCACAGGTCTTTCACAAACCTGAACCTCAGCTGAAGTTTGTTGACAGGCAAGTGGAGTTTGGCTCCTGTTTCAGACAAACCTCATCTGGGTGTCCTATCAGTCCTCTGAATTCTGAGGGAAGATTTTATTTAGTTTGAAATCATAGGAAAGTTGCTGGGTTGGGCTGATTTCCCCTGGAGTTCTCAAGTTTGTTCAAACTCACAGGTTTGCAAGTCCATGTGAATTAAAATCTTGCCCTGAGGGCCATGAATGACAACTTTGCTTGGAAATGTAATTGTCAGGCTGCAGTGGTTAAAATAAATAAATAAATAAATCCGCCTGGCTTTTGGGATAGAGGTGCTGCCCTTTCTAGAGGCCGCTTAAAGATTTGGAGACAGCTGCAGTAGTTACAGGTAGATAGCAACAGGAGGGGGAGCTCTCACTGCATTACCCAAAGAGGAGGGAAGTTCTGGACTGTGAAGCAAGCCTTAAAACGTAAAGGAAGGGCACTTTGCTCCTGCTGCTCCCCAGCTTCAAAATATTGCTGGCTGCCCTCCCTATAGGCAAGACCAATGGAGAACGTGCACCTGTGTAAAAAGAAAGGTGATCCATGTCCTGTTTTCAGCTCTTTTGCCCTCACCACTTCTTTTTGGTGGCAGGCGTAGTGTAGTTGTGTGAAGGCCGCGCTGCAGCCCTGCTATAGCAGATGGAGTTCCTTTTCTCCCATCCTTGCAATCAACTTCAAATACTAATTCCTAAGGTACTATGAGTGTTCCCTGAGAGGTCAGCCTCAGGAGAAAGAGACAGTGAAAATACATGGGACGTTACTGTATATGTTTAGAGCAAAAACAGGTGCGAGTGAGAAGGAGGAATTCATCTCTGATGCAAGCAGGACAAACAAGATTGAGAGATTTGTAAAGCTGTGTTATTTGATTTGTATTTTAAAGGTCTGGTTGCAGGTAGGAAATGTGTAAAAAGTAAGAAACAGAGGTGCATGGCATGGAACAGAACAGCTCAGGGTTTAGCAACCTGGAGATTCCTCTAAAACGTAACCCCACTTCCTTCTGTAACCATTTATATTCAAATATCTCCTAATCGTTAGTTTTTTGCTAACTCTCTGAGTGAGAACAAATGCAATTCTCCCTCTCTATTTAAGGATGGGGAGCAGAGACAGAGAGAAATTAGGGTTGGTGGGAGGTGGGGGTTGCTTTAATACAGACAGATGCAAACAGACACACGGAGGCAAGCTGTGGGAGCCAAGCTAGCTCTGGCTCAGAAGCTGTGGAGTGGTGTCAGCTCTGGGCTGTGTCGCAGAGGATGCGCCGTGCTCTTGGGGTACCACTTCAGGTGGTGTGCCAGGAAGATGGCTTCATAGCTTCCAAGCTAGAACTTGCTTGGGTTTGGATGAGCAGAGGGATCTTGCATCTATCTGCACCCACTGTGTAGGGCTGCCTCAAGGTGCTTGTGTAGTGTTCATGGGATGAAATAGGAACACATCCTGTTTTCCTATAACCTGCATAAGTGCTGGATCAACTGATTAGCATCTGTCTCTCTATTCGAATGTGCATAGTGTTGGCCTTTGTGTGCGTTATTGTTAATCGTGCTTTGTCTGTGATCTTATCTTGGATAATATCAAAATAATTTGAAGTAAGTGCTTTGGATTTTTCTTGGCGTTTTGTTTTGAAGAGGAAAGACGGAAGCCCTCTTCTATGTGAAAAAGTAATCTAAGGTAAAAGAATGGTCTTTTTGTGGGCTTCACAAAACTTTGATGAAAATTTTTCAAGTTTTGAGAAAAAGCAACTTACTGTGAGGCACTATTCCTCATATTCTGTATAACATGATTTAAAACATATCTCTGCCTTCAGAGTGTATGTTGGTATCTCTACAGTTGTGATACAGCTGGCTGGGTCTTTCCTTCTTAAATTCATTGTGTAAAAGCAATAATAAATCTAAGTTTTCATTTATTAATTTCTATCCAGTTTTTGTCATTTGATGTATTTAAATAGGGAATCTGGGAATAATACATGGTCATAGATAGAGAACATATCATACAGGCTTGTTCCCAGAATGTCCAGAGGGTTGTATTAAATCCTTTTGTTTTGTTATAGTATGACTACTGAGATTTTTCTGTAGCATAGGACCTTCAGTCCAGAAAGTGAGAAATATGAGAGGTGTCTGGCAAGGAAAGATGACATGAATTTAACTATAGCATTGCTGTTGTTCTTGACTACTTTTTGATTGGCCAGCAAGATCTTAAAAAAAACAAAACAAAACAAAACACAACCTTGGTCATATGGTCATATCTATATTATTCTGAATACCTACTGGGAAGAAGAGCAATCCGGGGTCACAGCACTTTAAACACTGCCACTCAGATGTTAGGAGAGACTCTGTTGCAGTCACCTGAGAAGAGAAGATAAACTGACTGCATAGGGATGAACACCTCTCCCACCCCCCATCTGAACTGAGTTCAGTTTAGGATGGTCTTTAAAACTTTATTGGAGAGTGACAAGCAAATGAAAAGCCAGTGGTGTCTATATATGGAAAAAAAAAAAAAAAAAGAAAAACAAAACCAAATGTTAGTTTTGTGTCTCTATTTCTTTTTCCAATTGCTGGGGAGAGGAACGCTTTAGCATTCATGCATTACTCATCTCAGCTATTCAGAAATGAAGTGTGTATTATCATCAGTATAAATTTTATTTTATTTTAGATAGGGGTCACTGCAGGCTTGGGCTGAAATTTAAAGTCACTGGAAGAAGATACTTTGAATAGCTGCACACCTGGTCATCTTTTGAAAGCGTCTCTGTGTTAGCTGTACAGACATTCAGTTATCTAAATTTCTGAACCTGTTAAATCCCTGCTTTACACCAACGAGTTCATAATATTTTGCAGAACGTATAGACCACATTCATATATTGCAGTTATTTTATTATCAATGGTGCCCTGGTGATATATTTGTATTTGTGGCGTATTTGTATTGTTGCAGTTTTACATGTTTTAATCATATTGACTTAGAGAAACCTTTAATATCTACTAAAACCCTGTGACAAGCTTGCCAGGATTTCTTCTTTAAAGAAAACCTCATTCTTTTTCAAAAATTTTTTCTTAATCACTCAATCCAGACTGATGCCAAGTTCATGAACTTTAGGGGGATGTTAAGCCAGGAGGCTCATGTAGAGTACTGCCCCTCATTAGACTGATGTTGGGGAAGGGCAGAGCCCCTGGGGCGTTTGGGACCTTAAAAACATACTTCATGCTAAGAAGTTGTACTGCACTGATTTGGAAGTAAAACAGTTATTCTTGGTTCCATGCAGATGGTACTAGACAGGAAGAAGTGGAAGGTGAGCTCAGTGAAGAAGAACGCTGGTTTGGAAATTCTTCAGAGACTCCTTCGGAAGCATCGTATGGAGAAGTCCAGGAGAACTTTAAGTTGTCTCTTGAGGACAGAATCCAAGAGCAGTCCACTTCCCCAGATACTTCTTTGGGAAGTGCAACCCCAAGCAGCAGCACAGTGGAGGTAGGAACCGTTGAAAATGAAGCTCTAAGAGACACATTACAGAGCAAAGAGCACCTTTCTCCTGATGTGCCATCTCTGTGTGAAGAAGAATCTCCTGGTCCAAACAAGCCACTGAGTAGTAACCTGAGACGGCTACTGGAGGCGGGCTCCCTCAAGCTGGATGCTGCTATCACCGTCAACGGTCAAGTCGAGTCCCCTGTAAATCTTGGCTCAAATCTCTCCTTCTCTCCACCTGCTCATCATGCCCAACAGCTAAGTGTTCTTGCCAGAAAGCTTGCTGAGAAACAGGAGATAAGTGACCAATACAATGCAAGTAATCGCTTTATATGGAATCAAGGTAAGTGGTTGCCCAACTCAACCACCACCTGTGGTTTGTCCCCTGATTCAGCTATCCTGAAACTGAAAGCCGCAGCCAATGCTGTTCTGCAGGACAAATCTCTTTCACGGACTGAAGACACTATAAGATTTGAATCCTTTTCTTCACCTTTTAGTTCTCAGTCTGCCAGCTCCACCTTAGCAGCTTTATCAAAGAAAGTGAGTGAAAGAAGCATGACTCCTGGACAGGAGCACCCGCCTCCAGCAAGTTCTTTCCTTTCTCTGGCTTCCATGACCTCTTCAGCTGCCCTACTCAAGGAGGTTGCTGCAAGGGCTGCAGGCACCCTGTTGGCTGAGAAGAAGAAATCACTGGTTGCTGAGGATCCCCTGCAACTTTCAGAGATGAAGCAAGAGAAAGCAACTCCACCACAGTCTTTGGAATTATTGTTACTGCCAGTCCCTAAGGGAAGAGCATCCAAACCCACTAGTACAGGTATGGATTCAGTTTGAGCCACTAAGTAGAACGTGTTTGTTTTGCTGTAGACTTATATAACATTTCTTCAGTGGGACTGGATTTGCTTTGGTTATGAGAATGAGATCTAGGTACTCTAGGTAAACAATAGAAAAGCTTTTTAAAGTACTGCTTGAAGACCAAACTGTTACAAATGTTTTCATATTTGAAAGATATGAGTGTGCAGTTCAGTACTTTTTTTAATCCATACAATTGTGTTTTTTCTCCCTCACTAAGTTCAGAATAGGGCCACAAAAAGTATTTAATGTGAAAGATCAAAAAAATCCCTTTCAGGGAGCTCATGGTATCCGGTAAGCATGTACAAAACCAGTGCTTTTGAAATATTGGACAAGGGAGAACTCTCCCTCCTGCTGTCTCTGTCACAAATGGACTTTTGTATAATCACTTACTACCCTGTCCTAATTTACCAGAGTATATTATTATGTTGCCACTTTTCATTAAAATTTTTTGCAGCAGCGTGAACAAATCTCACGTTTGGTCTTTTGCAATCCTTTGTCACAATAAAAAAAAAAAAAAAGGGAAGAAAAGAAAGAATTTTTCTAATTTGGCTCAACAAGGACTGTTTTACACTTCTGCCTTCCCTCTGCCAATTCCAGCTGTTGGCATTCAAGGATCCAGGTATATAGGGAATAAGAAGAAACAGTCTTGGTAACCAAAGCTTTCAGGAGTTGGTAAGCTATGCAGGGAAATTTAAATGATCCATTTTCAAAATAAGGAAAAAGAATTCTTCTACCTCTTTTTATAAAAAGTTTACATCCCTGATTCATATTTCTGGTAGCGGCATTCTGCTGTAGTGTATCAGATATCTTTGCAAGATATACAAAATGATTTAGTACATTAGAGCTTTATCAGTATGAGTTTTATCAGGAGCGTTAGCCTGACTGTACAGATATAGCTAGTCAGTGTACAGGCGTGAGGCCTGACATGGGCATTGTATAGTTGCACCTGCAATCTTTTTGATCTAACTTTTTTATTTAGGAATATTATGAGGTCTGATCATTCCCCCTGCAGCTCTTGGTAAGAACTCATAGTGGAGAAGCTATTGCATGGACAGCAATGCTCATTCCTCCCTTGAAGGAGGAGGGGAGGGATACAAGGTGCAGCTGATATCAGTTTTTACTGGTATCTGCATCTGTTCTGCAAGTGCTTTGCTGGTGTGTTTTGCCAAGGCAGTTAAAGCGGCAAACTATATTTGGCATGGGTCTGGCCTAAGGCTTTCATTAGTTTAGCTTAAGCCCTTTTCAGAGTAACAGCAAAACTTTTAAAAAGGCCCTCCCATGCTGGAATAGGAGTACCCACATGGGGGAGTTACACTAGTATGACTGTAGGCATTGATTTAAGTCAATATGCTTTGACAAGTCTAACTTTGTTAGTCAAAAAAGGTTGTAGTAAAATCCAGATTCTGTGCCTGACTAAAAAACTACGGGATTTGTCTGTGCAGCTAGTACAAGAGGAGTGCTCTGTGTGTGCAGTGTGTGTGTTGGTAGTACCAGCAGTTTATAAACTAGCTCTGATGCAGCAAATTCCTAGCAGCTCTTCTCTCTGCTGAAGGCCCAAGCATACTGTGCTGCTGAAAGATAACAATGGGGGCAGGCTGCCTCAGGTCCTTGGTAACCATGGAACAACCACTTGCTTTTTATGATATATGGGACTAGTATCCCAAGAGGAAGGGTGTTTCCTCTCAGTTTATACACACTGGGCCAATGCCAGTTGGCATCCAAGCAAACTTTATAGTGGAACGTTCGTAACAAAAGTTCTTTCAGTGTAAGCCCCCTTTCTAATATGCTATTAATTTTTTCCTTTCTAAATAATTAACCAGCTGAAAAAAAAAAAAAAAGCTGTTGGTTAGCATATCTGGATGTTGATTATGGAAAGCCAAACTGCTTGATTCCTTCTACCATGGAGAAACGCAGCTTGCAGAAAGAAGTTACTGTTATGTGACCTTTGGCTGGAGACATTGCTGTAACAGTTGAGTGGAGTATCTGGGCATGTATATTTGCTATGAAAATAAACATTGTACATTCCTGATTCCTTTTACACCCATGGCCTTATGGCACTAGCAGCAAAAAATAATACTTCATTTTATAATGTTTTGCCTGTTATTGTGCATCTGTTTGCCTTTTGAGTTGGGGGAGGGGGGACTGTCTCGCTCTCAGAGAGGTAAACGTCTGTTCCCAATAGGCATAGATCGAGAGAGATTTTTTTTCCGCCCTCGTACATAGTATAGTTAAGGCACTGGTGAGCTTACTTCGTTGTTAGACATCAGCTTCTCTTTCCCGCCACCACTGTCTAGCTTTATATGAAAAAGGATCACAAGGTCAATAGTCAGTGAGAGAAGTAGGTGTTGACCAGTAAGGAGCATCAAAGAAGGAGGCTATTTAAACAGGAATATGTTAATAGCAAGAGTAGACCTGCTGCTGATTTGTCTACCGTGTTAAGTTATTTGCTCAGAATTATTTTGGGCGAGGAGCTGTGGCTTGTCAGAGTATAGTGGTCTCTGATGCTGCACATCAGGTTTGGTGGACTTGATTGTTACTTGGATGGGCTATACTAAATTAAAGCTCCAATTCATCCAGAGATGACTAACTTTTCTATCAATCTGTTAACATTGCCAACTTTGGAAGAAATTTAAAAAGAAGTCTGGAAACTCTGTTTGAGCTCTGATGTCAGTTTTGAACGATTGTGGTGCAGACCCTCTTTTTTCCCAACTGAATGCTTGCTTGCTAGTAACTTTTTGCCTGCAGTGCTTGCAGTTTTCTGTCTGAAGTTTCTTTAGGATGCGCTGGCAGATTGTCTGCTCGCTGGAGTAACTCCTTCCAGTTAATTGACATGGTGTGACATAAAATAGATATCAGTACGAATGAAGGAAGGCTGAAGCTCAAAATTCATTAATTTTTCCTATGCTGAGATTTATGTAGTACAGTGAAGAGGCTGAGCTTTTGAAGGGGTTGCCGTAATTCCTGTGTACGTGAGTTGTCATGATCAGTGAAGTCATGTGCAGTCCAGTTCTTCGCAGATTTTGTACTGTGCTAAATTGCTATGGGTTCATCTTGTTTACAAATTTATTTTTTATGGAGTGGAAAACAGGTGACTGATGGAATACACATTTCTGTTTTGGATGCTTTCTGAGGATAGCCAGCCTGAGAAAAGATACAGTAGAAATGTTGAGTAAAGAAACGATGAGTAAAAATGCTACCAATATATATTTCTGTGGTTTGTCTTTCTCCTACCTTCTGTGAGGAAGTAAGTAAAGATATTAAGAAAGTGAAGCAAGGAATTCTAGCATTGGTTTTGGCTTATTCTTCAGCGGTGCAGAGAGGGGAACAGCTTGATAATAGGTTGAGTTTGATAGAAAATTTCACAAGTAGGATTTCTGAACCTGCAAAGTGCACATTTTGAAAATATGTCCTTTCTTGGACTTACATAATGACTACCTAATCAGCTGAATTACAATACTTTTGTTTCCTACCTCATAGCAAGAATAGTATTTTAGCATAGGACAAGTCTTTCTGGAGGTTTTTGTCACTTAGTTCCTGATCACAGGATGTTGATGTTTGCTGTGTCCTTATCAGTAAGAAATAACTGATAATAATTGGAAGAAATATTCTGAAGGAAATTCCGAATAGCAGGATACACATTACTGAGCTCTGGATATTTGAAAATAGTCTGTCTTTTATACTGAGGAGGAACGGTTCTAACGCTGTGATAAAACGAAGCCTATCTTCATAATAATGAGAAATCACAGTGAGAGGATGGATGGATGTTTAGCTGTATCAAGTCAGCAGCAAAGAATTTCACTTTTCCTTCGATCTTGTGATGATTCCACACTTAGTAGACTAACCATATTTGCTTGACAAATACCCCAAATTCCTGTTCTTATTTTAGGCGAACTGGGCAGTAAAACAGAGTGCAAACATTTAGGAAGGCAGTAGACTTAATGCCCTGGCAACTAGAGGATTAGAAGGAAACCCAGTGACCCTAAGACCCCCTGATGGTGAAGAGGCGGCAGCATCTGCTAGAGCTGTAACTAAACAAGTTCAACAGCAGGGGTTCTGAAATATTTCACTTCTGGAGTTAAACATGTCTGATATGCAATACTAGCCTGATTTCCTGTGAAGTTATGAATTGTTGTATGCTTAATATTCCCTCCTCTCCCGCTGCTAACCATCAAATATGGGAATGGATCATTTCTAAACATGGCTAAGTGTATTTTTGATACCCTGCTACCACTGACATTGGATAGGAAATGAGGCTACACAGTGATGATTATGAGAGACATCCATCTCAGTTCAGTTAAATTACAAGGAGCATTAGGACCAGGTGAGATAGAGTAGTATCCCCTTACTAATTAGCCAAAGGATATTTGGGACATTAACCTTTATAAATTCATCTGACCTTTCACAGAGGGAGAATAACTAGATTAAGGGGAAGGGGATATGCAAGGGACAGAACTGAATTTTCTGGTACATGTTGTTGTTTAACTGATGTGTCTCTTTACAGATGAAATTCTAGCATTGAAAAATGGTATCTTGAGTATGTTTACAAGGGGAAAGTATTCGACAAGTGGCTGTAAAGGATCCTCTCTTTTTCTTCCCCCTTCTGCTAAGCCTCAGAAGAAGAAGGAGGAAAACCTTTCCAGTGTCCGATCTGTGGTTTGGTTATCAAGAGGAAGAGTTACTGGAAACGGCACATGGTGATTCATACAGGTTTAAAAAGTCATCAGTGTCCGCTCTGTCCATTTCGCTGTGCACGCAAGGACAATCTCAAATCACACATGAAGGTAAGGAGAGCGTTTACTGACAGTCTTGAATCATCTGTCACTTGAATCATCAGTCAAAAGATGATAATTTAACAAAGTTATTTCCATCACATTTGTAAGAACAGAATTTCCCTATCTGTACTATTAATGCTGTTTTTATTTAAATAAAGAGACTGTAAGAAGATGAAGAAATAACTTGATTTCCTTTGTTTGCCTCTCCATTTTATGCAATGTGGAAACTGCCTTGTGTTATGTCAACTTGTTGCAATGTAATGCAGCACAGGCTATCTGTAGTGGTTTTAGTTCTGGACCTGGAACTACAAGAAGCAGGGACTGTTAGCTGAGATGTGTCACCATGCAAACATAGCATTGCTGCTTTCAGGCCCCAACCTAGTATCTCTGTGTGGCATTGCCCTACACTAAATGGGCATGAACTCAGCCAGCGCTGACAGCGCTTGCTATAGACAGGCCTGCAGTTTTAACTTTAGGTTTCAGGCTCAGACTATAAGATGATGGTCTTTTGAAGGAAATTTAACATCTGTGGTAACATGGCAAAAATGGGAAAATGCAATGGAAAGAAACCCTTATCTGTTTAGCTGAAATAACTACAATGGTAGCAAGATGCAAAGGGCCCAGTCTTGCATACTGTAGAGCATGCTTGCTGAATTAGAAATGGTACTTGGCCTGTTAACGCATGCATAAAGAAGCTGGAGTGTTAGAAGTTTCCTTTGTTAATGCAATTCAGCTATTATGGTAGCAGTGATTTTTTTTTTTTTTTTTGGTCTGTTTCAGACAAATGTCTATAACAGTACAGGACTGGTGTGGAGGGGGGCAAAAGTGTCTGTTCAGCTTTTAGATATGCTATTACAACATCTGAGATCACTAGACAGAAGTCTAACCTTGCTTACACCCGAGTAACTGTTCACTTAAGTATAAATCCAGATGATTCCACTGATCACAACAGCAGGGTGCTGCACTTCAGGTCCTGCTAGTCTGAAATCATCCCCCTCAAGTCTGAAGGCCCGTCCCTTAACTTCCCTAGTGTGCATCAATGCACTAGTCCCAGGCATCCTTGATGTATCATGCTAGTCCTTATCAGGTACAATTAGGTTTGGTATTTGCAGCTCTTTCTTTTAGCATTTGGTGTTCTGCTCTGACTACAGGGCTCAGATGGCCTTCCTGAGCAGAACTGCTGATATGAAAGAGTGGGAACAAAGTGTAATAAGAAAGGTTTTTGTTCTCAGTTGTTGACAGTCTGCGCAGAAGCATGCATCACCTGCAACCTTGCTGTTCCTTGGCAGAAGCCTGTTGTTGTCCCGTGCTTTCTGAAGGACATCCCTCTTATTCCCGGCAGGAATTCTTGGTCACTGCCTTTTGGGGATTATTATATTTACAGTTTGAGAGCCTATCCCTTCCTTTTTGGCAAGATGATTTCCATAGGAGGTCAGAGGTAGGATGTTGGAGAAAATTAGCACAGAGACAGTGGAAGAGCCCCTATCGAATTGATGGCTATCTGAAACCCTTGTGCTCTCTTCTGCCCACCTGCCATCAGCCCCTTCGTTTACTGACCCCATATAGTCTTAAAACAGGCCCTTTGTACAAACATGTAAGGTGATGTTCTTTAATTATTACTAAGTAGTGCTTTGTTTGACATGACACTACTGCATGGAGATCAGAGTGAGGCCCAAGCTACTTGATGTAATGGAAAAGGTTACAGTCTCCTTTATCCTCACTATGGAAGGTTAGATCTGTAGTCCCATCAGTCAAAACAGTCCAGTCTTGTGAGTCATGATGGGCACAGTGATCTTTGCTGGTAAAATTACTCCGTGTTTCGGGTGAAGGCGAATGTGTTATAAAACTAGTTGATGTGTTTTTACTTTTTCCTCCTTGCTGTACCAGTAGAGATGGGTGCAAAGAAGCACAGCAAGTGTAAGAATCCAGAAGATAACATTTTACCTTCATTTCAGTGGGTGCGATATGTTTTCTCATTTGAGTAGGCATGTCATAAAAGCATTTTATATCAGACCAAAATTGACGCAAAGTAAAAGTGCATACATATTAGCAGGTGAATGAGGTGGGGGCTGTGTTAATCACTGTGACAGTGTCAGATATGACTTGAATTTCCTGTGGTAGTAATATAAATGAATACCAGGATTAAAAACAAAAAATATCAGATTTCTTTTCTAACTGTATAAAAAAGTGTTGCTTTTAAATCTATATGTAAAAAAAAAAAAAAAAGTATGAGCTTATAAAACTGAAACGTGTAAGCCAGCAGTATTCAAGATGGAATAAATACCCATCAGAAATAGCACAGCAAAGCTAAGATTTTCCTGGGATGCAGCATCCTGGTTATGTCAGTTAGAGGTTTCACATCTCTTTGTTGTCCCAGGATCCTTTGGGAACTACCTTATCTCCTTCCTGGCCGGCAACCCATGAAGTCAGAGCTGTCTCTAGCCCTCCACCCCTCTCTCCCTCCCCATGAGTCAACAGTGGCTGCAGATGAAGACGTGTTTGTTTTTCAAAAACAAAATGCTACTCAAAATTATGGTATTAGGTTGGTATTGTTCATCATTATTAGCCAATTTTTACTCTGGGACATTATCGCAAGCCAATTTTTTTTCCTTTATACCCCTCTTCAGTTTTCAGGTTTTACATTCCGTTGATCAGGATGACAGACAAAACCTGCTGAGGTGTTTTGTCCAGCTGCAGTCTCCAAAATCTAGAAGTGTTGTCTTTGTTTCCTCCCAGGCATCGTAGCTCTAAGCTGGGGTACCTCCTCTTTCTTCTAAGTTCTTGTAGGCATTTTCCATTGAAAGTGAGAGTTTGGAAGTTTGATTTCCATTGGTGATTTATGTGTGTGTTTGTATGGGACTTTCTTATTGTGTATATTTTTAGGTTAATAAATAATAACCGTAATATATAAGTAATGTGTAATTTTATGTTAATTATGGTGTGTCAAGCTCATTGGCCCAGAATACAACATTGCCAACGTTTTGGTGTCTTGTCCCCTGCTAGAGAAAATCTTACTACAGAGAGGGCTGGAATCAGTCCAGCCTTGTCCATGTTCAGATCTACATGCGCTGCCCTGTGCACTGCCCTACTGCTCCGTGGTGATGAAGCTTTCCTGCAGTAAGGGCACTTTGCCAGGACCAGCTCTTGACTGGAGGCAAGGAAGTGAAAGGCAAGAAGGGAAGTGGAAGGAAAATACCCACGCAGACATGCAGTGAACAAGGGAGACTGAGAATGCTGCCTTTTAAGGCATACAGTGTTATCTATAATTGTTATATGGCATTTAGCTTCCACAGTGATAGGCACCTTAGAAAAATCCTAAAATAGACATGGTTCAGAATTTTATTAGTCTGTTCTGCAGACGAATTATAACACTTGCATAACCACAGGTTTTGGCCCTTTTCCCCAGAAATCCTTGTCTAGCATCTCAGCACTTAATTCTGGTATCAAAGCATGGTTTCCAAGGGCTCTGAGAATATTGAAAATGAAGCTGAACAAAATGAATAGGTAACTGAGAGAAGTGTCTTGTCCAGGCAGGCAGCAAGGTTGTTCTCGAGTCCTTCTCTCTATTTATCTAAACACATATTCAGTTGGAATACGTTGTTTCCTCCTTGAGAGGACGAATATTTTATGGATGACTTCTGAAGCAGCAGAACGCAGCAGAAAGGGGTAGTGTAATACAGCAGGATGTTTTCAGACTTTTCTGTTTTTCCTGGTAGGCAGGTAGGGATTGAATATTAAATTTACCTCTGAGCACTACCACAAGCATCAGTCAGATTTTGGCCAATTGGTATCTTTGGATCATGCACATATCATCCTGAGCAATTGGTGGAAGGATAGGCTGTGAGATCATAGAGCTATGTTCCAAGAAAGCAACAGGATATTAGTCTGAGCACTTGGAAGGGGGAACGGGGAAGAGGAACATATGGCCAAAAACAATATCTATAAATGTTCCTTGTGCTGCTATACAGACATAATGCAGAAATGGGTGAACTAGCTCTTCCAGCAGTGGAAGAGAAGCTTGGCATAGTCAATGCTTACTGAGGCAGGATGGTATGACAGAAAATGAAGAAATGCAAGATGAAGTTTAACACAGAAGGTAGACGTAGGGGCACACAAGTGATGTGTTGCTCAACCACAGACTCTTTATGCTTCTGCTCTTTTAAAAGAGGGACCATGTAGTGACATCTTAGATTAATGCTCCTGTGTAGTATTAAGAGGGTTATGATCAGCCTCCTGGTTAGAGAGAGGCTATTAATTACATGATAGAATAAGAAAAGGCCCTGAAGAACATAGCCAGGTGCTCAGTAGCCCTTAGTGATTTGCTTTTCCCTCTTTCTTCCTCTGCTGAAGTCTGTCAGAAAACTGAATGAGTGTTCACAATCCCTTCTGGTGAAGCACAGAATAGGTTATTTTTAAAACATCTTTACCATATTGAGGGAAGGAGATTGGTTGTGTTTCATGGGAGGGTTTTTGTTTAGTTTTGTATGAACTAACCTTAAAAAGCAGTGGGAGGCTCCTGTGACTCCATTACCTCACCTCAGTGGACGGGAGATAATACAAACTTGTACAGCTTTCAACAAGTGAATATCTGTGCCCTGAGTTGTAGATACATGCAAGTGACTTCAAATACCTGCTTTTTAGACTGGTCACTTTTTACATATGAGACAAGGTTAAGACAGGAAATGCACTGATGCCCTGAAGCCTCTAAAGATACCATTTTTTGGAATGTCTAGTCCAGCCTTGCAAATAAGCTTTTTTTCCTTCACTTTTAAGCAAACCAAGGAAACAGTTTCAAGAAGAAAATACTGTATAAATGATGTTTGTGTCCTGAGGGGAAGGATCATAGCACTATAGTACTACACTTCTGCAGGTGCAGTATTTTAAAAATGAGGGAGCTTGTCAGAAAAGAGCACTAAATGAAAAGGCAGAGAGCATACATTAGATGCAAGATGGAGACCTGTCAAATATATCCAAATGTGGTCTTAGAAGAGGACATTTTACTAAAAGAA